AATAAATAGCAAGCCACTTTTCTCCAGACTCCAGCATAGGTCCGTCTGACCAAATCCTGACTCTTTTCACTGAGCTGATATTATTTATTCAAATAACAAGTACTAAATACAGCAGTCATTTTTTCTCATCCATTGAGTATTAAATATGTTATGTTGATAGTAATAAATAGCAAGCCACTTTTCTCCAGACTCCAGTATAGGTCCGTCTGACCAAATCCTGACTCTTTCCACTCAAACCGATGGTCATGATATTTTTTATTTAGTTAAAGCATACTGATAACAATATTCACAGACACTCTTTTTTCTTCTCCATTAACTTGGCAAACCAAGAGTGTAGAACAATTTTAAAGCTCAATCGAATAAAACAAATGACGAGTGGAGTTGAAATTCCATCACCTGTGAGTATAGTATTCGCGCCGAAGCACCAGCCACCGTCAATCACACCCCAAAAATTTGCCACAGCCAAACAGTACACCGCTCATTCGAAGCCCATTAAAATAAAAGTCGGAGCATGCACGCACGGAATTTCAACTCGTACGGGCGCCCGTAACCCTATATACATATATGTATGTATATCCGGTTCCAAAAAGTAATCCGAATCCCGGACTCTTGATTATCAAACCACTTCGCGTGCGCGCGAGCTTCGACTTCTCCCCCTCCGAGTTCCCGACAGCCACCAGTGCCATGAAAAGAGGAACAAAAGAGTGGCTTGGGGGAGGGGGGGGGGACAACCCGACAACGAGACCTCGACTGATGGGCTCTGCATGTGCTGCAATACACAGATTAGCCACAATGGTCCCTCCTTCCAGGTGGTTCGTGATCCAATGTACGTATATACGAACAATCGAGCTCGCGGGCAAAACTCTTCGCGACTTTTGAAGGCCCGTGGACTATATCGTTGACACGTGACGCGCTTGCACACGCCGTAATTGTCGGGGAGTGACGGAAACTAAGGATTATCGTACCCATGCAGCCAAACGGCCCAACTGACAAGCTCAACGCTGTTGTAAGGCTACACGTGTAATTGAATGCGCGAAAAAGTATACGGAAAATCATCCGACTGATTATGCGTTATTTAAACTGTTCAGGTTAACTTTTATCGTTTGACAAATCGTTCGTCCTTTCCGGCTCCTTTGGAAGAGAAAAATTTTATTAAACCCGAAGAAAACGCCTCGTGTGTACAATCAGCGCGAGAATCTTGTCGTGTCATCTGTCTCTTGGCTTATACCGCGGGCTCTTATCGGAGATCCACGTATACATGCCTTACACACCTTGGGAAACTTGCCTCGTTAACTCAACACCACCACGAGTATGTTGGCTATCGATGACGGCTACGACGTAAGAGTCTCGTTTTACGCATACGCCCGAGGGGCATGTCATTCGTTCAACGAAAATACCGAAGGGAGGGACGCTATTGGAATTTCAGGGAGGCGCCAAGCTGCAAGTATGCGCGGAGGGAATATCCCTTACGATTGGCGTGATAAATAACGCTTTTGGAGCCAAGTGGGTTTATTTCTTCCAAATTTTTTGTTTTACTTGGGAAGCTGTGGGTGGTTATAGGTGAGAGGAATCGACGTGTATGAAGGGGTCACGAGGGTTGTGGAAATTGTTGACTTCGTCTCTTTTCAGTAATTGTCAATAAATATTGAGTGGGTAAAAAAATGACACGCGTGACACTGTTGAGAGCGAATTTTTGTTTTTGTTCTTGATTTTTTTCGGTTTGTTTTAAAGCCTTTTCATAAAATTTCCCAGGGATAGTATGAGAATTTTTATCCTCGAATATTAAATCCTTTTGACGTGGGAATGCTTTAAGCTGCAAATAATATTACACGTAGGCTCGTGCACTCGAATGTGCGTAATTTTTCTTTAAAGTTTTTGAATTTTTTAAATCGTTGGAAAATCAGGTCGCAGCAGTATAAGTAAAATAAATATTAAATATGTGTGTTTCGGAAAGGTTTTTCCCTTTTCAGACAAAATACGAATGACATCGGTACTTGTAATGTGCGTATCTGTACAACTGCGCGCGTTTTTTCAACTTTCAACTCACAATGAGATTCAAGTATATGAGCACAAGTTTTTTTTTCTTTTTATNAAAAAAAAAAAAAAAACTAAATATCATACACGAGCGATCCTATCTCTTGAAATACATTGGATTTCAAAATAGTTCCGTGAGAGCGGCCAGTGTATCATTTTTGGCGAAAGGCCATTAGTGTGCATTTGCTATTCATTGACTTTTGCGAGCGAAAACATTTTCCAATTCAAATAAGTATTGGATCGCAAAAAGTCCATCACCGGAAGCTTCGCTTGAGCTGTGCTCTACAAAACAGCCTGATTTGATGGAATTTCCCTGATGAAAAATGTTGCGTACAATTATATTTAATTGTACAAAATAAAGCTTATACATGATCATCCATAAAAATAATATTTAAGAGATGCTTTTTTTTACACTTTTTATTTTAGAGGAAGATAGAGGAAGAAAAAAATCAAAATGTAGCGTAGTACGAGCACCCCTTTACAATACTATCTTTTAGTGGAAAAAATATAATTTATTCACTGAATAAATTACTATGTACAGATATAAATTTATACTCATGGGCGTTTCCATATCACCGATCGCATTTCACATTTCTCAAAGACACGTACGTGTAATTGATGCACAATCGCACATAAATAAATTAAGTTGTTGAGTTGCTATTGACTCATCGGCTCGTATGTAAATCACTCATGCATTAATAGCAACGCCCACGTAAGTTTATTCTCGAACAATTGCCCCCAATGAATACCTAATCGTTCGGCCGAACGCAGTTGATTGCAGCTCCGACGTGATTATTTCTCGATAGGAGTAAACCTCGCGGTTTGAAATTCATTTCGAGCACGTGTTTCTCGCATTCCTGATTAATTACGCTCTAGGCAAAAGGCCATTAAACGTTTTGGCCCACGAGCTCGTTTTTCCATAGGAATCGCATTTTTCAACGCTTATCAATGATCATTAAAATATGTGGAACACGCGTAACAGGCGCATTGAATCATGAATCGAAGATAATCGATGACGAGAAAAGCGCGTTGCACACCTCTGCAAAATAAACAATGACATCTCGTCCGAAGGGCATTTCCATCGGAAGTAAGCCGGTTTTGCGAAATTTGTTATTCAAAGGGACGCCGCGGACTCATCTCGTGCTTTTCACCACTGGGACGCGAGAAATGAATTATGGACGTTTTCAATCAATCGCAAGGATTGCAGCTCCGAAATCGTCTTTTTTGCCTCGATCGTGCCATTGTCGCTCCGTCCATTTGATATTGTTCCAAAAGTTAACCATTGTTTAAATTCAAATTAATTTGCACTGAGAGTTATACGCGAGCGTAGGCAAACAACGGACACACGCGCGAGTCAATGTGACAAAGGCCTACCTCGTGTCGAAGTGACGGACGCACCGCAGCAATTGTACATTTCCATACAAGCACATGAGCTGTGCAGCAACTAAGAGGATCTCCTTGGACATTACAATACATATAGTACAGTAGACACGGCGGCCCGAAAATCCCGTGACAACATAGTCCCATTGTACAGCGATCCACCCCAATGTACACCCTCGCTTGGCTCTGTTGTGCACCGTTGCGGCACTGCAGTACATCAGGGAACTTGCGCGCAAATACGAGGGAAAGGACAACACGAGCGTACGTGTGTAGGAATTAAGGTGGATGAATGCAAAGTTCCACACAAGCTTTTTCACATATGAATTTCGATCCAAAGCCTCGATTAGATTCACTCGGCGATAATAATCAGGACGCGCTGCACATAGGCGTACGGATGAATCTCGAGAGCTGGCTCGGCACGGTTATCTGGCTCCTGTCGCGTTGTCCTCTATCTACCGACAATCGCAGTGTAGCTGCCGTGTCGTCGGATACTACCTGCGGTAATCCTTCGGGAGGCTTTGTTCTCGCGATCCATATATATATATATATATCGTTGGCATATAGGTACACCGAATCGTGATTCCTATAACAACGATGACATCCCAACGTTAGATTGCCAAGCTGATTATCGTATTCATTGAAATTTAATATCGTTATACTCGGACATCACAGTTACAGATTTACCTATACATAAAAACCGAAACTTATACTCGGAGTGCACGACGTGCAAGCACCGCACTACTCAACGTGACAAAGCGTATACCATCGCCTATCTATTATAATGTATCCGAAATATAACTCCCGACTCGGTCGTGTAATCTATGCTGACTACGAAGATGTGTGGAGTCCAAAATTTTATTTCAATGATTTTTTTTTTTTTTTTTTTTTTTTTTTTTTTATTAAGAGGTGCACTTTTGCATGATATTATTTAAAAAAAAAGGCTGTTGCGTATATTTTACACTTGATTTATCGAAAGTCCAAAATAACTCGGTGCTATGCATTATACACGAGTGACNTTTTCCTTTTTTTTGTTTTTTTTTCTTTTTTTTTTTTTTTTTTTGTTGCAAATGAGGATTTTGTTGAAATGCAACGCACGCCGTGGAACCGATAAATTTAATTAAACTCATTTCCACGTGCACGCGTGACACATTTACATAGTGCAAAGGAGGAGGGAGCATGGAACTCGAAAAGCCCTTCTTGAGATTACCATGCTGATGGAACCGCAATAGATTAAAACACTTGTAGGTGTATATACATGTTAACCCTCATCCCTACCAACTATTTAGATTAACTCACGATACGTGTTATCCATGCATAGGTCGGGACGCAGCAGTAGAAGCATGCGATTTTGGTCAGACGTGCCTGTACTGTGCTTGGAATAGTAAAATGGGAAAAACATTGCGACGCAGTTTGTCATGAACAAGTTTTTCTAAATTAACACGCTTGGGCCCACTTTATTGAAAAAGGGAAAAAAATCACTTGGACTTTCAGCGACTCGGGGGTGTGAAAGTCGATCTCGCTTGCGCGCCATTTCCTCGTACAGATGTGGGGTGAAGGTTGGGCTGAAGTTGTTGGAATTTTCACAGGCCTGGCGGAGCGAGGGACGAAAAAGTTCAGCGACGAGTGCCGAGAAGATCGCGAGTGCGGCTTCGACGGCTCGTACTGCGACACCAAGATCCGACAGTGCATCTGCAGGGATGAGTTCCCCGCCACCAACCACATCGACAAATGCGGACACGGTGAGTCTTTTACGCATATAATATACAGTCCCTTTGTCTCATGCATCCAATGGAAGGGAAGGGGGTAGAGGATCCCAAAGAGAAAAGATTACTTTGCCAAAATAGGGGGAAGAAAATGCGCTTAACTGACTTTATCGTACTGCACCCGAACGAGGTCGAGCAGCGGCAGGAAACAACAAAGTTTTTCAACTAAAAACGGTATAGAAGGGGAGGGGGTAAACTCTGTATTACTTTTAATCCCTCTTAATTCTTCATTTAGGCGCTCTTTGCTGCAGATTTGTTTCGAGTAAGTTGGCGAGGTCCGTCCCAAATGAAATTTACCATGGAGGAGCAGAAAAGTTAAACCGAGTTATGTTTATTTCACGGTTCCAATGTAAATTTCTATATACATATACCCTGCACTGAAGTTGCGCTGTTTTTTTGTTTCAATTGATGAAAAATTGATTGTTTCATCTACGCGTGTACACTCACGGAATCTCAAACTAGTCAATCTATCCCAAAACTTGAACGATGAAGAAAAAAAAAAAAAAAAAAATACGAGCCTCAATTTTCACTCGACAACGAATCTTCTCGCGACTCTGGTAATTTTAATCAACGTGCTTCCAGAAGCCTATATATTATGCACAGCCCTTCGATATATGAGTCAAGTGGACGAACCCAGCATCGATCGCGCGGTATACACTCTTCTCTCGTTGGGCTTTCTTCCCTTCGTTTCCATGCAGTTTCACCGTGATCGAAAGCTCTGGCTTGATTGGGTTTCTAATTTTTTTTCTTTGCTCTTGCGCGTTTGCTGAAGAACGAAAGGGAATGAATTTCGTCGGGATACACCGTTTCCTAGGTGCCAATTTTTCTTCTCCCCCCGATATACAACGCGTAGTCACGTTATCTCTCGACAACCACTCCCGCTCATCCCTGTTGTTTTTTTTTTTTTTTTTTTTTTTTTTTTTTTTTTTTTTTTTTTACCACCCCCTCCTTTGTTGGTCGCATCTCCACGCTCTTTCATTTCCCAAAGTACTCCCCTCCTCCCCGTAAATACCCTTTCCATTCGTCTCGTTTAATCGCTTCCTCTTTCTTTCTCCCCTAATGTATTCTCGCGCCGATGTACGTCCATACAATGAAGAGGACGTTGCCAATCAACTCGACTCGAGTGGAAAATTACCCTGCAGATGTTTCGCTTCCTTTTCATTTCCTCTATGTGATTAACGAGGGGAGAGAAAGGGAATGCCGATGACGAGAGCCTATTGGCAATTGGTCGATTACCCGTTCGAGGTACTCTTAGCTCGACCTTTAGCGAGCAGTCTCCGATGATGACTAATTAATTGCCCACACTCGAAGGGAAGACCAGTGCATTTTGTACGTATAGTGCTGAATAGGAGTTTTGAAAGCGTTAACGGGTAAAAAAAACGATACATCGCTAGTACTCACAAGTGAGAGAAAAGTCAGGAGTGAATTCGAACGAAGCAACGACGTCTTCGAGTGTATTATATTCATTGAGATGTTTCCATTCATTAAGCTTTAATCCTTATCCCCATCGATTTTTTAAGTTTATCCTCTCGCTGCAGTAAAAGAAAACAAAGAAAAAAAAAAAAAAAAAAGTTACAAATCGAGCACTGCTGGACGGAATTGAGTATTATTTCGCGCGAAAGCTCGTTCTCGACGGTGCAAGCCTAGAGCTGAAACAGCAAAGCTCTTTCCTCCAAATTTAAACATCCACGTAAGCGTCATAACTGTGATTTCGTAATTTATTTATTTTTATTTTTATTTCATTGTTGAAAAACATTTCTAAACCTAATCATTGAATGACGACGCATAGTACGCGGTGGCACGCGTATAATCGGCCTGATATTATTCGCGGATTAAACCGCGTCGGGGGATACAATCCGATTGTTATGGAAGAGCGACGAAGCCGCGAGTTTGGCAAAATCAAATTACCGTCCGATACATCCGAGTTGTCGCGAAACCAGAGCTATACCAAATTGCCCAAATATCCTTCGCTAACGCGTTCTGCTTCTATATACATATAACGATATACGTTAAAGTCGATTGTTACGTATGTATACAATGCCTCAAAGGTGCGTAATTACACGCGTGACGGATTCGAAAGGGGATTGATTATTTTTTCTCGCTTCAAAACTTGACGGAAAGAAAAGAAAAAAAAAAAAAATCGAACGAAGATTAAAATTGACGGACAGTCGGAAATTGCGCGCAAAGTGCACATATATGGGAGGTGGTGGGGGGGGGGGGAGCAGCGCGAACAACGTATATTTCTCCATGAAACGCGACATGTACCTGTGGTTGGTTTTAGCGCATCCTCTAAAATTGCGCCCGGCTCGTTTCTGCGCGGTAGTTGTCTTTCATCGGATTATACCCGTACCCTGGAAATTGGACAGCCCCGGTTTTTCGGGACGGATGCTTGAAACCCATCCACGCAACGATACACACCTCGTAGCTATAATAAATGTTTAATATTGTCGAAAAGGTTTTTTCACAATTTCATTATTTTTTATAACAAACGGAGTGAAAAGTCAACGTTGTCCAACGAAATAACTTCTTTGGGGAGGAAACTTATTCCCCCTCCGAGGGATAAGGGGGCCAACTCGTCGCACCCACCCCTTCGTATATCCCATTGCACGCTGCCTGTACAGGGAGAAACAGAAGGAAATGTTACACCCGTCGAGGCTCGGAGAGCAATTTTCTCCCCCGAGGAATTTCCCACAGGCCTGTGTCGTAATCTCCCCTTTGACGACTCCTCGATATAACAACGTACATGTATATATGTATGTATACGTGGCCACGTCTTTTAGCGGCGAACATCAACGAGTCGTGCTTCTTCACGGAACAGTGCGAGACGACAACGCCCCAGACGGAGTGCAGGGACGGGCGGTGCATCTGCATCTTCGAGAAGGTGCCCATGCAAAACAAGGACGGCTCGTACCAGTGCGTCGGTAAGCCTCGACACCAGAGATCGACTCGTGGGGATTTTTTTTTTTTTTTTATCATCATGACTTTGTTTTTGTTCGTTTGTTTGTTTGTTTGTTTGCCATGTAAACTTTAGCCGAGGTAAAGGAGCCACCGGATCTGAGGTACGTGGACCCAGCGATGATCGGCATCCTCGCGGGCATGGCTCTGATGTTCGTCATCATTTGCGTCGTTCTCAGGCTGTTCAGCAAGTGAGTATACACGGAAGTGGGTGATTTTACAATTGCAGGAGGGAGAGGGGAAAAAAATATACATACATGTATTGTTTTGTCAACGCAGGGCTCGTTGGAACGATAACCGGACGATCTTCAATACGCCGAACGCGCGGCTGATGAACGTCTCGCTGTTGCGGGACAACAAACTCTTGCACGGGCACGACAGGCGCGGCTCGCGGGCCAGTGTCAGGGCGCCCTCGCGACAACCCTCGATGGCCTCCTTGCGGGCCCACTCGCCCAACGCCTCGCAAGGTGCGAAACACACTCACCGAGTGTTGAACCGTACGGGTTTTTATTCATTCACTTACTAAGCAAGCGAAGTTACTCTTTTGACTGAGATATATTTATATATCCATATATACTCTTGTATACCTATATGATGATTAAGTATCGCATACGATACCTACTCTATTATTTTATACATTTATATATACCTATATATTGTATTATTCTCTCTTACTTTCAGTTATTCGTTTACACTATATATTATTATTTTCTTTTGTTAATCTTTATTTCAACAGGCGTCAAATTTATAATGAATATGTTATTGTGTTACGTCTCGTGTCTCGCGCTCGTTGTATTCCAAGTTTTTTAAATTTTTTTTATGTAAATATTTCGTTGAACGTAGAAAAAAAAAAAAACAGAGAGACTTTACATTTTTCTGCACCTGTTGGAGAATACTTTTAATAATTATTTAGTTTATTACTTTTTTTTTTATTTAACCACGCGCAGTTTCTTTCTACATACTTTCTGTATGTCTCTCTTTCTGATCCCTCGGTCGCGTGTTTTAATGTTAGTACAAATTGATTTGACATAAAATAGAGATACGCGATTTTATACTGTATACTATTTCTATTTCTTTAATCATAATACAGAGAGACATTTTCCATCGTTCTCTTGATAACTGTCTTTCAAAACTGACTGCTCTTGCTCTAGTTAAGTGACCTTTATGATAAAACTTTTTTTTCTTCTTCTTCTCTCTCTCTCTCTCTTTTTCATCATTTGTTCTCACAATCCATATTTCGACACTTTTACAGCTTACGGTCATTTTAATCGCTCACCATGTACTCCATACAATTACATATTGGATCAAATAGTTGTTTCTCGCAAGAAACGTGTCACTCGTGTATAATGCATAGCACCGAGTTATTTTGGACTTTCGATAAATCAAGTGTAAAATATACGCAACAGCCTTTTTTTTTAAATAATATCATGCAAAAGTGCACCTCTTAATAAAAAAAAAAAAAAATAAAAAAAAAAAAAAAATTGTTACGAAAAACAAACAAATAACTCAAGGGACGGCATTTTTAGCAACATTCAAGAGTAATTTTTTATAAAACAACCGGGAGACCTCGTTCGGGGAAAATGCGCAAGTTTTTCATCTTACTAACAAAAAAAAAAAAAAAAAAACAGCTAAAATGACTCGGGAGCATAATATTATGCACGTATACAATAATTGAATGAAAAAGCCGATTTTTCACGAGGACTGTGGCTGCGAAAGATAAGCGCTCCCATACAAGTTGACGTTCTCACAATTCCATTTTCTCGTATTTAACTAGTATATATATTATACTCTCTGTCTTTTTCTTATACATGCGTGTGTGTGTATGTATCCCGTGCCACCGAGCTTTTGTGCAAAAAACCCGCTGCTTACTCGCAAAACCAACACATTTTTATATACCTATACATGTGTATACACCGTACAAACACCTATCGCTTCTCGTGCCTCAGCATGACGTACATACCTATACAGCTCTACCCTTTCCTTCTTTTCTTTTTTTTCTTTTGCGCTCGCGAGGCAAGTTGCGTTATTGTTCTAAATACGTTGGGGCCATACACGAGGACCCTTGCTCCGGCTCGCACGCCATGGGTGCTCTGCGTATGGCAATTTTTTTTTTATTTATCTCCCCTTACCATTATGCATCCCAGATGGGCATATAATTTGCAACGCGAGCTTAATGATGTTATACCCTACTGCTTCCGAACTGGCTCGATGTCTTTCTTGCATGCGATTGTGCTCTCTTGGTGTTTTACTGTATTTTTTTTTCTCTCTCTCTCTCTCTCTCTTTGCAATGTTGTATTACTATTTGTTTGCTATGTCTTTTTCTCAAGGTGTTGCATGGAAACGATAACCGAGGAGATAAACATACACGTGCTGATGATTATGCTCGCGTTAAAAAATGATGAAAACGTTGTTGTGTAAAATTTTTCATTACATTTTTACATCTCAGATGACACCGATCAGACTGTTCGCGAATTATATTTTAATGTAACGAGGCTGTGTATCAGTTATTGATCAAATAATGAGATTAATAAGGGGAAAAACTGAAAGTTCGCGTGCCTAATGGCATTTCAGGCGCGTAATTGCGCTTTGTAATCGAGGTAACGTACGCGGTTCGCGAGTTGTTCGTAACATGAAATATAGGTGCGCAGAAAATGTATTTTGCATGCGGGCTTTAATTTTTTTTTTTTTTTTTTTTTTTCCATGCTTTTGTATTCAACCTGCGCAATTTATATGTTATCTTGCTGTCTTTAAATGTCGTTAAATTTATTTGCAAATATGCGGGTTGAAAAAATGTAATATATTATATTGCGTGCTTACACGTCTAATTTATGCAATCTTTTGTAGGGAAAAAACGCGCAAGTCCAAACCAAGCTAAGAAAATTTTCATCTGAGAAAATTTACACGGCTATTGTTGCAACCCAAAAGTTGATGAAAAAAAATCTGTTTAACGCTAGACAAATCATTGTATGATTAATTGCCCACGGGTTGTTTTTCAACGGTAAAAGTAGTGGGAAAAAAACAGTACCCGCAGTTTTCCGATTCCTCGACATCGACAACTCGCATATTATCGAGGAACAGCCGTAAGTGCAAATAATTTACATGCTTTGGGAACGCGGAAAACAACGTTGCGTGCGCTTTTTGATGTACCTATCCATTGATAAATGTGAATCGGAAAGCATACTCTCACAAGTAGGTATATATTTATACGATCAATGGTGGATATAGCCCAATGGGATCTATTTTTCTGCGCAGACGTGCTAGAAAACAAGTGTAAAATATTTTTAATTGATCTGAAAAATTACGTTTACATGCCGATAGGACGCGTAAAATGAAATAAGCACTATACGGTCGGGAGTAAACCGAGGAAATGAATTTCCCGTTGTAAGTATAGGTCGGTGTTGTACCTACATAAGAGCACAAGACAGATAAATACAGGTATAGGTATGTACGAGTAAGTAGACTCAAAAAGGTAGAATGTTGATGTACACAAAACACATATATAGAGGAATTTGAGATACGCTCTGGATGCGACGCGAGATGGAAAGAGTGGCCGAGGAGGTCCCGATAGGCGGAGTCTGACCTCGCCAATCGACGATTTGCGCCGCCCCCAAGCGCTTCACCCCCGCGAGCACGCGCTCTCTGCCGCGTAATGTACGACCAGCCGAGGTCGGAGTGCATGCGAGTCGAGCTCTCTCTCTCTCTGATGTTGTCGGGACGCCTTGCTCTCTCCACTGTTGTTCCGCGCGCGCGCGCGCGCGACCGCCTGTATAGGTACCGACGAAATGCCGGAGAACGCTGCGACGATATACTATTACTTATGTACGGCCTCTTGTACATCGCATGGAGAATATTCTCGTTCTAGTACGATTATAAACTCATGAAACATTTACCATGCATGTGTTACCAATAAATAATAATCAACACGATCAATCATAATATATTGTATCATTAATTGGCACAGTCAATATTACTGTTATTACGGGAGTGCGTGTTTTTTTTATCTCTTTATTACCCCTGCTATAAAAAAACTATAATCGGCTCACACAATTTTGTCGATTGAAATGAATCGACTATAATGGGACTTTTGGATATTTTCATTTTCAATCGACTTTAATAGGCATTTTGGATCTGGGCAAGTCAATCGGTTTCAATAGGCAAAAGTGATACTGAAGTCAATCGACTTGAATCGACATTTTGGACGGGAGCAAGTCAATCGGCTTTAATAGCAGATTTTAGAGTCCATTTAATTTTCAATGCACTATTTATTTTAATCAGCTTTTAATTTAATTGAATACATACTATACTTTGAGTACGTACCTACAAACCATGTTTCACAGCGATTATGGTACATTCATATAAATATATCAACAATAAAATATAAAAAATTTCCATTATTTCCAGAGTTAAAATGAATACTCATTTGGCTGATAATTATTGAAATATTTTCGTCGTTTTCGTTGCAATTTTTATCTTTGATTACGCTCTCAGTTTAATTGGCTCCTGTTTTAATTGTCCCCTTGGTTATTTGTTGCTCGATTTTATCCGATACCGCAGGTCGGTTTCACATTTCTCCTTGAATTTTTGATAAATTTTTTCCCTCAAATTGTGTTTGAAAAGATAAGGTAAAACAAATGAATAAGCAGACTACACCAAATTTAACAGTTTCGGGTAAAAAGTGAACATACCTATGTTACAAAAGCATTTGTCAGCAAGTGAGTGAGTAAGGCTCAAGCATCTGGTGTTTACTTTTGCAGGAGGTTACCACCATTTACGCAGTCCCGCCTGCAACCAGCAGGATCAGCCACAAGACAGCCGACGCAGGGAAAATTCGCCTCAATCGCAATCGAGTAGCAACGGCTCCCAGCACCCCACGTCCACGGCCTCTGCTGGCCTGACGCCCCAAACTCCATCTGCCAACTCTAATGTCACTAACAACAACAACAACAACAGCAGCAGCAGCAGCAACAACAACAACAACAACAATAACAATAACATTACCAACAACAACAACAACAACAACAGCACGCACAATAACAACAACAACAGTACGACCAGTAATGCCTACATCCACCTGCGGAATCTCAACAAGCTCAAATCGGAGTGTGAGTACATGCGCCTCATTTGTTATTCACATTTTTTTTCACGATTCCTTTATATATTCTAATTATATTATTGTTTTTTCTTTTTTTAAATGTAATTAAACGTATTGTTTGCAGCAGCGTACGCGAATCACCAGGCTCCGAGTAATGAGCAGCAGCATCTACAGGCGGCCAATAATGGGGAGATCGATCTGAGGTCCTCGGTCGGCCCGGGAGCTGACAACTACCTCAACCCGGCCCATTACTCGGGCTATGAGGAGCCAGCGGATTACCACGGCCTCGGTGGCCACGAGCACCATCCTGGCCACCCCTACGGCCTCGACGGCTCGCCCGAGTTTTACGGCCAGGCCAGTGGCATGCAACTCGAGCCCAAATACCAACCACCGCCCTTCAAGAGCTACTCTCGTGGTGAGTTTTTTTTTTTCT